GCCTTTCTGACCCGCCATTTTTTCCTACAAATTTATTGCATGGGCCAGGTGATATCCAGCCCGGTCGTTAAAACTTGTAAAACCAAATTTACGTAAGTTGTTCAGTGCATTTGCGGGGAGCATTATGCACATCGATAAGACAGTAGTAGTTAGCCTCATTCCTCGGAGAAAAACCAGGAGAATGGAGATACAGATGGGTTGATATTTCAGAAATATGCCTTTATCGAAATAATAGCAAAGGTGAATTCAAACTTGCCTTTTAAATTCGCTTCGGCGATTTTGAATTAAATTCTGCTATTGTTTCGATAACGATATGTTGCCGAAATATCAACCCATCTCTATCTCTCTTCTCCTGGTCTTTCTCTGAGGAATAAGGCCGTTACTACTGTCCTATCTATGTTCAACCAAAGTTCTTTGAAAGCAATGGTCGCTGTTCCGCGCAATCCCCGTAGGATTAAGGTCCGAGCCTGTAAAGATTGTGACATTCATATTCGAATGATTTTGCAAGCTAGCTGTTTTATCACACAATATTTTCGTGGACATCTTAAATGATTTACTATACAGGATGATTGCAGAGTACACATGAAACTGTTGACATAACAGCACTTCCCAGGTCGCTGTCGTGGCCCAGCAATGAAAAGCCATATGGTGCTATGTACACCAACCGTTCCCTCCCAGAAGTAAAACTATCCGACAAATTAATATTCAGGAACAATTTCTACTGATCCGCTTTAGGATGAGAATCCGTCGCTCACTCTCACCCTCGCTTCCACTTCCGTTTCCAAGCTCGCTCCCGCTCTTGCTCTCGATCACGCTCTCGCCCTCACCCTCGCCCTCGCCCTCGCCCTCGCCCTCGCCCTCGCCCTCGCCCTCGCCCTCGCCCTCGCCCTCGCCCTCGCCCTCGCCTCACTCACCCTCACCCTCACCCTCACCCTCACCTCACCCTCACCCTCACCCTCACCCTCGCCCCCGCCCTCGCACGTGTTCACCACCGCGTCGCCCCGGCAGAAAATCAGCGATGCTGCGTTTCCGGTCCGAGCCGCCCTTCACGTCCGAGTTCGACTGCCGAAGCGCCACCACGTGTCAGTGGTACGCCACCAGCTCCCGCGGATGGCACGCCGCCCAGTCGTACATCGTCACCATCACCACGTCATCGGAGCCCGTCGTGACGGTCACGCGCCGCACGGAACGTGACGGACAGACCGTCCTCGGCAGCGCGGCGGCGCCGGCCGACGTCAGCTCGTCCACCATGCTGACCCACTTCCGCGTGCGCTTCGGCGCCGGCGGGCAGGTGCGCCTTTACGCCGGTAACGCGAGCGCGCCGCTGCTGGAGGTCACCGACCCGAGCCCGCTCGCCGTCCAGTACGACGGGCCGCGGAACTCCGACGACCTTGTCATGAGCGTGCGCCTGGTCCGCTTCGACAGCGCCTGGAGCTACGAGGGCGGCTTCCGCTGGGGCCTCGACGTGTCCTAGCCGACCGTCGCTCACCGCGGCGGCGACGGCGCGGCCGCTCGCAGCGCCGTCGCATCAGGTCAGGTCAGCTGACCTGATGGTCAGCATCAGGTCAGCTGACCTGATGCTGGCGACGCGCCTCGTCACGGCGAATTCCCAACGCGCGGGATTCAGGGATGGACAGGATACGGATATGGATATGGATATGGATATGGATATGGATAAGGGAAGTGCACGCTGACATTGGCGCAGGTATCTGGTATTGATGGACAGGACGGAACAGTGAAACCCCACATCCGCGATTCTCACCTCATTGAGTTGGCCGCGGCGTGACTTGAAGACTGAGAGGTGGTGCTGAGACCGACCAAAGTCGACAAACAACCATGCCCCTACTATGTGGCGGCCGGCGAAATGCCCAGCGCACCGTCTCTCTAGACATCGCGACCAATGACGATGTATTGTTAGCGTCCTGACATAACTGTCAAGATCCAGTCTGTTATGATGTCTTCGGCGAGATACTGACTGTCGTGTCTGTCAGAACTGTCGTGCATGTGCAACGACAGTTCCGATCACGCCATCTAACCCCGAATAACCTCAAAACGAAAGCTGAGAACGCCATGAATCCCAAAAAATGTTTCAGAGATACTGGCATATTGGTACACATCATCCGATGAGCTTCAACTGTACTCTTTCAGTGTGTGGAGCGCCAGCGACCTCAGTGGTCATAGTTCAGCCAAAGGCCAAGGCATGAACGGGATTCGAACCCGGGCTCGCACGTGCGAGAGGGAGGCGCTAACCACTAGGCCATTACACCCTGTCAGGTTTCAGGTTATGGTATGCCTGAAGCATTACAAACTCACTTTCCTGCGTAACGACAGTAAACTGGCATCGTAGCATGGCGCTGCGACTAGCTTCACAGTTACAAATCTTTATTTAAGTTTGTGTTGTATTGTCTTGACTTGAAGTCTTATCAGCCACGGATTTCAGGACGCAGGAAGCACTCTGCGACCTCTGCGAGGAATACTCCCTTTAAAAACAGCACTTTGCCCACTTATATCCTCACTCATTAAATGTATCACATTCGCCGTCTTGTCCGGACCCAGGTTTGTGCAATTTATCTAGCTCATCGTGCCCGGAGAAAAGTGACGCTGCTTGATACCCTCCGAGCCAATTCCCAGATGACCCCGAAGAAACGAGGATTCGCTGAGCAAGCGCAGCTGAAGGTCTGATCTCGTGCAGGACCAATCAATGGCGACTGGCTTGGTACTTAGCAGCAAACCATGCACAAATGAAAAATGTGTGAATCGAGTGAGATCACCAGATGCGACTTGCTCAGTCAGTACAATCTCGAGCGAAAAGCAAGAGAATGTAATTCGGTTTAAGTAGAAGAAAATACATGTGCACTTGCTACCTTTCCACGTAGCCCTCGCCAACCCCCACACTGGCACCAAAAATACAAGGACTCCACCCGCGACACCACGTGTTTTGCATCGACTCATGAAGGCAGCCTGTGGCGAAAGTCGCACTTGAAAAAAAAAAAACAGCCCGGGCCCTAGGTCCAAGTTATCACACAGGTAGCTCAAACGTTTGGACAAAAGGCATGAAAAACCATAGTAGGCCACCGCTTACACGTGTCAGTTACAAGGCATCCGCGGCTTTACTCAAGAACCGATCTTAACCCTTCACACGGTGATCTTTGATATCCATTAGTGATTTTGTTCTGTTTGGTTGCACGCACATCCTCTGTACTGGCGCTATTCCTAAGTCATTTGATTCTTAGCCTTACTTTCATCATAAATCGTGCCGCTGCCTGAGCTCCTGCATCATGTACCAAAAAACGTACATCCTGCTCGAAAACCTGCATGAAACACCTCACCCTGGTCAAGGGCCAGCTGAAGTCCGTGGATATCAGAAAAGCGCTGGCGTACGCCTGACACGAAGAGCTTGATGAAAATACTTGTCGTGGCCGCGGCCGCTAAACGGCCAACGACGTGTCAGCATTCGTGTGACGTTTTTACGGCGGCGTGCACGCTCGGACGACCTTGAAATAGCCTGCACGTTCCGCGCCCCCACGACCGAAATCGCGTTCGCCAGCGCCTCCAAGTAAAAAGCCGAAGCAGCGCCCGCCGCTCTCCGTCCGAGCTCCTCTGCAGCGCGGCCCCCGCGAGCACGTGCGTGGTCTCGCCTCACGAGGCCGGGCCCGGGGCCGTGCAAGCGTGCGCCTCCCCAGAGGGGAGGGGAGGGGCTGACCTGCCGGTGCGGCCGCATCGGTGCACGTAGTCCTCGTAGTGGTTGGGGCAGTCGTAGTTGATCACCATGGTCAGGTGCTTCACATCCAGACCTCGCGCCGCCACGGAGGGTGGCGATCTGACGGCGATAGGGTCACCAGGGGTCACCGAGGTCAGCAGCGGTCATAAGGGTCGTTGGGGGTCGTTTGCTAGGATTGCAAGGATTTTTAGACGCACCGACTACGGTCGCCAGAAGCAGCGGTCAACAGCCAGAGGTCAGTAGGGGTCACTGGCGGTCAGCAAGCATGGTCACCACACTGACGGTGGCACTGACGGGTCAGCGGGGTCAGCAGTGAACGGTCAGCGAGATCGGCGGCGTCATCAAAGTGGCGCTGAGACGATGGACCACAGACGTAGCGTGACGTCACACAAGTGCTGACGGAGCTAGTGAATTGGCTCGTCGCTCTACTGACGGCTCCGACACACTACACGAGCACAACGAAAACTAAACTTAAATTGTAAGAGCAACATGTGCGCTTCTCTTCTCCAGGGTTTGCTGATTACAAGATGTGGCCGTTAGCGCAAAGCGCCAGAGCGCCAAAGCGCGCAACAGTAGTCACATGCCCGGCGTTCGTGATCTTTTTTGTCCTCGGCGCCCGAGCGGGCTCCCCCCCCCCTTGCCCCCTCCTTCACATACCAGCAGGTTGACCTTGCCGCTCTTGAAGTCATTGATGGTGGAGTCGCGGTTCAAATTGGTCAATGCCGCCGTGCAAGGCATGCAGGGGTACATGGCCTTCATCAGGTCAGGAGGAGCAGGTCATCTGCAGGCGGGGAACACCGGGTCAGCCGGGTCAGCCGCGTCCGAGGCCTCCGGAGACAGCGGAGACGGCGGGTCAGCCGCGTCCGAGGCCTCCGGAGACGCGGAGACGGCGGGCCAGCCGCGTCCGAGGCCTCCGGAGACGGCGGAGACGGCGGGTCAGCCGCGTCCGAGGCCTCCGAGACGGCGGAGACGGCGGGTCAGCCGCGTCCGAGGCCTCCGGAGACGGCGGAGACGGCGGGTCAGCCGCGTCCGAGGCCTCCGGAGACGGCGGAGACGGCGGGTCAGCCGCGTCCGAGGCCTCCGGAGACGGCGGAGACGGCGGGCCACGTCATCCAGGGCCATCACCAAAGGACACCGTGCGACCGTCCAGACCGGGCGCGCTGGCTGGTCCGAGAGGAGCGGAAGGGTCAGCTGACAGCCGGCCGGGGTCAGCCCCCGCGGCGGTCGGCCACCCGAGTGCTGCACGGCACGTGAACACCTCGTCGCGCGTCATCTGGCAAAAACGCCGGAGACAATTTCGGACCGATGTTTCAACAGTCAGGTAAAAATGCAGGCACATTTTCAAAGGAGCGGGATTGCATTACAAACGGCCCGAAGAAATCGAGAACTTTACGGCATCAAACAACGTTATTCACAAAACCGAGATCTGTTTTCAACAAAAAACTACACCTTTACGATGATTACTTGGATTATATTTGGAGACCGTATGCGGAAAAAAAAAAAACGCTCGCACACAACCGCAACCTCCGCCGCTGGACTCAGCCACGCCCGTCTCTAACCCACAACCGGGCTCATCTCTGCCATCACGTTTCTTCTGTCCGGCTCACCGGCCTTCGTCTCTGTACCCATTCGCCGCCCGCCGATGACCGGACACAACATGGCCGTGGCCCCGGGAGAGGACGGCGCTCGGAAGAACGGCCTGGCTTCCGACGGCGCGGCGACCAACGGACCGGGCCGGCCGGGCGGGGCGGGGCCGGGGCGAGGGGGCGCGGGCGGGGCGTTGAGAAACCACGGCCGCCGGCTAACGGCGACAAATTGACGCTGGTTCGATCCCAGCGGCGGGGCGCACCGACGGGCGGCGTCGTTAATCGCGCCTGTATGGGCGACGCTGGAGCGACTGGACAGCCCCGGCGGCGGCCGCAGCGCCGGCGAGAACGCGTACTAACGAGAACCTTCCTCAACGTGTAAAAGGCTGCAGGTGCACGTCGTAGCACAGCCCCCTGTGAAGCACCAGCGGCCCAAGCGGTCGGCTGGCCACACGCCAGCACGCGCGCGGGCGGCAGCAGCACCACACGCCGATGCACACCAGGCCGCTGAGACACTTCGCCTGCACGGCGAAGAACGCCGCGGTCAGAGCTGACGGCGACGAGAACCGACCGCTGATGACGACTTGGGTTCCAGGGCGCGCTGAAAGGAGCCGGCCCAGGTGACGACCAACTGAGAACTATCGCAGACGAGACCGACAGCCACCTGAGAACTATCGCAGACGAGGTAACAACCGAGCACGGTCGCAGACGAGGTGACAGCCGAGCACTGTTGCAGACGCGGTGACAACCACCTGAGAATTATCGAAGACGAGGGAACGACCAACAACTGTTGCGGACGAGGTGATAACCGACTGAGAACTATCGAAGACGAGCCCGACGACAACCAACTGAGAACTATCGCAGACGAGACCGACAGCCACCTGCGAACTATCGCAGGCGAGGGTGACACCAAATGAAACGATCGCCGACGACTGAGTAGTGATTACCAACTGAGAACTATCGCAGACCGAGATGATGACCAACTGAAAACTATCGCAGACAGAGGGTTAGGTCAAAAACCCACTCGAGAACATATCGCAGGACGAGGGAGTTGACCACTACTGTTGCGGAGCGAGGGTGAGTAACCGACTGGAGAACTATCCGAAGACGGAGGTCGCAGGGAACACGCAACCCCTGAGAACTATCGCAGGACGAGGCCGACGGGCCAGAAGCCTGCCGGGCCGTCGGAGGCTCACGAGCGGGAGGAGTGTGGAGGCCTCCGGCAGCGCGCAGCCCGCCGGGCGGTCACTGGACGGAGGCTCGCCCCGGGACGAGGACGATCACGTGACCGGCGCCCGGTCACGTGATCGCCGCCGGCCGGCAGCTAGCCGTCCAGCGTGGAGCTCAGCGCGCGGCCGTGGCCGCCATGACAGCCTGCGGCGAGAACCGATCGCACGCGCGAGAGCACGTGGAGCTGAGAACTCACGGCAATGAGAAGGTCGGCGCCGAGACTCTACGCTGGCGGAGACTCTACTGAGACTCTACGGCGCCAGTTCCGGTCCCCGCCAACAGCCGCCCCCCCCCCCCCCAGCACAGCACGCGGCTGCCAATGGGCGCGGCCACACGCAAGCAAGATTTCCTCTCCGTGTGACGCGCGAGGACCACTGAGGCACACCCAATCGGACAGCGCAGCCGCGTCGGCAAGGACTGCTCGCGACCAGCCCTTGCCGCATGCCGCCGCCGCCACGGCCGGCTCACCTCCAGACCCGCGGCCAGGCACTGGAACAGGGTAGGCTTGTGCGTTCGCTCCCAAGAAAAGCCTGCCAACGCGGCCCGACTCCTGATCCCGGCGGGGCTGGCTCGTCGGCTGCCGCTCGGCGCTGCGGCATCGCCGCGCCGCCGCTGGCCTCCGTCAGACACCTGGACTCCGGCCGGCCGCCGCGTCCGTGCTGGAGCGGCTGGGCCGCCCACTCCACCGGTGTCGCGGCAGCCCCCCCCCCCTCCCCCCAATCACTGGCGCGACACCACCCACCTGCCGCCTCCTGCTTGTCCACGAAGATGAGCGTGCTCTCCTGCTGGGCGCTGGTGCCCAGCAGCTCCAGCAGTTTGAAGAACTTCTGCGCCTCGTCCAGGATCACCTGGAAGTCGGCAGCCGGCGTCAGCGCGGGCACCGGCGGAGGCTCGCCCAACACGGCATCAGTGAGAACCGCAGCACACACTCAACGCTCGTCGAACGTGCCGAGGAGCCTCATCCAACGCAAGGATGGGGCTCGTCCAACACACAAACTAGGCCCGTCCAACAGTGGCGGGGGCTCGTCCAACACCGACGGAGAGCGTCCAACAACGGCGTGGCTCGTCCAACAACGACGCGGCTCGTACAACAAAGACGTGGCTCGTCCAACACAGACGGAGTTCGTCCAACACAGAGACGGGCTCATCCACCAACAGATCAGGGTCGCACAACATCCAGACAAGGCTCGTCTTCCACAGAGGAGACTCGTCTACAACACCCACCAGGTTCGTCCAATACAACGGCGACGGCTTGCCCACGGAAAGAAGTGAGCCGTCTCGAGCCCAGCCCTGCTCTTTCAAACCGCGAGCACTCGTCCACGGTGCCGAAAGCGGCTCGTGCCACACGCCAACTCAGGGTTGTTGGAACACACGGACACCTGCTCGTCCAACACAGACACCTGCTCGTTCAACACACAGAAAGCAGGGACTACACACACACACACATCTCCCAGGGACTACACACACACACACACACCACACACACAACAGCCCATAGCAGGCTACACACATTACCGATCAAAGTAAGCGCAAATGCCGGGGAAGAAAAGGCCGCATCTATGCGCTAGGTCTGGAACCACAGAAACTTGGCACGCACCAAGCCTTAGCAAAATACAATATCGGCCCAACTTTGCTCAAACTTCATGAATACCCCGTCCCTGAAACGCAGCACACAGCCGGCTAAATAGCTAAGACCATGCCATTTTCGTCGGCAGGCGTGTCTCGTTACACCTCCATGTAGCGAGCATTGATGCGCATCCCGGCACGACTCCGTAGCCCCTCGTCCGATCTGGCCAAGCGAGACTCGCAAAAAGACATTTACAACAGTCCGGTGCTTACTATGTGCTGCTCAACATCCTTGCACACGATACTCTTGCCGCCAACTTGTACTTCGACAGGCTTAAGAGAATGCGGCGCGCCAGTGCTTCCATCTGCCGTGGGAATGTGGCACTAAACAGCACACATTGCCGGTCTGGGCGCACGTTGTCGATGATCCGCATCACCTGCGCGAACCGGACAGAACCGGTTGTAACCAGCCCAGTCCGTAGCCAGCGGCACACTGAGAGCTGCGGCGTATTTGATGCCGCTACTGCCGCCGGCAGTTGGCGGCGGCCCGCCGGGCCAGACATCAGGGACACAGAAAGACAGGTGGCAGCGCCGGCACGAGGGGAAGAGATGGCCGAACCTCCACACAACAGACACCCGCCGGGTCATCTGGGGGAGGGGAGGGGGGCCTGCTGCGTCTGCGTGTGTGCGTGCGTGCGTGCGTGCGTGCGTGCGTGCGTGTGTATAAGTGGACACAATCGTCCACATCTTGCCCTTGGGACACACATTAGTCATGTGAATGTTTACAACTCCACCAGCATGACAAAACACCAGCCCACCCGTACTCCGTCCGGCACCCGCTACGATCTGTAACCCCAGCACCACCTACGTCGTGTCCCCGACAAAAAACAGCCGGCACTGAGGCTCGAACCCGCGTCCTCTCCGTCGCAAGCCACCCACCCCGCGCCTTCTGCCCGCCCACCTGCGGCTCGAAGCCCATGTCGAACATGCGGTCGGCCTCGTCCAGCACGATGTAGGTGACGCGGACGAGGTTGGTGACGCGGCCCGAGTTGGCCGCCAGCATGTCGATCATCCGCCCGGGCGTGCACACGATGATCTCGGCGCCGCGCTTCAGTTCGGCGATCTGCTCGCTGATGCCTGTGGGCGACGCGCGACCGCCCGGCGGCCCGGCGTCACGCGCGCAGCGGTGCGGTCACACCGGCGAGGCGGGCAGGCCGGGGAGGAGGGGAGGGAGAAGGGAAGGGGAAGGAGGAAGGGAGGTCAGCGAGGAGCAGCGCCTGCCTGGAGGGAGGCCGGAAGGAGGGGAGGGAGAACGGAGGGGAAGGAGGAGGGGAGTCGGCGAGGAGCAGCGCCTGCCTGGAAGGAGGCCGGGGAGGAGGGGAGGGAGAAGGGGGGGGGAAGGAGGAAGGGACGCCTGGCGAGGAGAACGCCTGCCGGTTCACAAAACACTTAAAGTGTTCACGTGAAAAAGTGAAAAGTTCACGAACACTTAGACAGCAAAGTTCTTCATCGTTCTGGCCATTTCATACGCATTGGCCGTCGCAATGCGTGTCCCCCACATCCAACCCACGACTGACCCCCGTCCCGTTCCCTGACCCTCGTCCCCTTCTCTGACCGTCGCCACTCCCTCGCCCCGTCCCCTCCCCTGCAGTCCGTCCCCTGCCCTGACCCCTGCGCCCTCCACTGACCCTCGCCCCCTTCCCCGACCCTCGCCCCGTCCCCTGCCCTGACCCCTGTACCCTCCACTGACCCTCGTCCCCGTCCCCTCCCCTGCAGTCCGTCCCCTGCCCTGACCCCTGTGCCCTCCACGACCCTCGTCCCCGTCCCCTCACCTGCAGTCCGCCCCCTGCCCTGACCCCTGCGCCCTCCACTGACCCTCGTCCCCGTCCCCTCCCCTGCAGTCCGCCCCCTGCCCTGACCCCTGCGCCCTCCACTGACCCTCGTCCCGTCCCCTCCCCTGCAGTCCGCCCCCTGCCCTGACCCCTGCGCCCTCCACTGACCGGTGCCGCCGTACACGCAGACGGCGCGGATGCCGAGCGGCCGGGCGAACTTGCGACACTCCTTTCCGATCTGCAGGCACAGCTCCCGGGTCGGCGCCATGATGATGGCTGCCGGCGGAGGCTCACGTCACCGATGACGTCACCAATGACGTCACGCTCGGCTGACGTCACAGGCTGGATGGCTGATAGGACCACGCTACAAATGCGCTCCATCGGCGGCGATTGGTGGCAGGCGGCGGCATGGGGCTGCATCGATAGCGTTATGTTTGACCCCAATTTAATGAGCTTCAGCCAGTGAGAAAAAGAAAACATCCCAAATGGAGCGGTCGCTGTCGAAATTCCCGTTTTCTGCAGAGTTTATCGGAACGGTATGTCCAGACTGGCATGCAGAGGGCGTGTGATGTTGGCGCTGTTCCACTGCCCCTGGCATCCACAGGCGAGCTGCGGCTAAACTATTGCTGAGCTTGAACACATTGACACATGCATACAGATTTGTTCATCACTGACAAACGGAAGCCCATTCCAAATCCAGTAGGGAACCAGTTCGGTGGTCACGTGCCCTACCAGGGTTACTACCTGCCTAACGGATGTCGAAGCATTACTTCGCTGAGAAAGTGGTAGGCTGGGCAGCTATTATTGGCGTGAACAAGGGGACGGGGATGCGAGGCCTTTTTCCATCAAGCAAAGTACATCGGTACCTCCCATCGCGCACGTCGCCACATGGCTCGAGGAGCATTCTCTTGCAAGTTTAATAGAACACCTGGACATCCTTGAGCCGTTCCTAATAAGCGCGTGCTGGCGGGGCCCCGGCCGTCAGCACGGCAGCCGGGGTTGATGCCCCGGCTACCCCACAAACTGGGCGCCTGGGCGGCGTCCCCTAATG